AAAAAATATATATTAATAATACTTTTGACTAGAGTTTAGAAAAATCCTTCCATGGATCGCGCTCATTTTTGCATAGGTAGAATTTTTAAAAGGAACCATATGTGAAAGCAAATTTATTAGTATCTAATTTTTGTCTATTTGTGGAAAGTTATTCCAAAAAGAATGGTATTCTCCGACATCCTTTAGATGCATGCTGCCTTCTGGGCTTTGATTCTAGTCAAATATCGTGGACTAGCAACAGTTCCAGACTTTAAAAACTTTCCACATCCTTTGAATCTCACCAATCCATCCTTTTCTGCATTAAGCTGTTGGTAGCAGGTAATATAATGATTAAGATATGCATATTCAACCGATGGATAGTTTTGAACGATTAAAGTTTCCATTCTCAAGAAAAAAAAAAAAGAAAAAGTAAAATTCCCATCCTCAAGAAAAAGAAAAGAGAGTAAAATTTCAACTTTAGAATTAAAAAGTTTATATATATATATATATATGTAAGTTTAGTCACCCGCTTGATGGGAATCAAGATGACAACATATTTATTACGTCATGTGATTTATTACACACCCAAAGAGGTCTAATCACGCGAGTTAGAGTTAAGAAGATGCATGAAACTTTAAATGGCCTTGTTGAGCAGATTTAGGTTGAAAACAACATATAACAAGCAAATTAAAGCTTTGATGATTATCAAGGCATGGTAAACATCATTCAGATTTAAGAGAAGTTTAGTTGAGGTCATTTGTATGGAATTACACAGTTTGCGTCAAAATCACACAATTCTACCGTAATTTGTAGTAAACTGATATTTCATGATATTTTAAGTTATTTTTAGTGATTTTCACGTTTTTTGTATTATTTTTGGGCTGAATATTCGTTTATTTGAAGCTCAATTTTTGGTTATTAGGTTTAAAACTTAGGGTGTTAGTTTCCTATTTTGATTAAGATTTGTTTTCTCTATTTAAAAGGCTTGTAACTCTAATGGGGAGGGCAGTTATTGAATCTGAGATTTTGAAAGACTTTTCTTTTTGGTTTATTTCAGAACTTTACAGAACTTATTAAAATTATTCTTGTGGCGTTTTAATTTGACTTATCATTCTCGTTTTTAATCGTTTGAGGGTGTGGCATCAACAAACTTTATACCATTGGTTCTTGTTGCGTTATAGACAACGGGTTAAGGTTTCTACCTTTGGTTTTTGTTGCGACATAAATAACGGGTTAAGGTTCTATTATAAATCTGATTTAGCTTTCCTGGAGTTTAAAAATTTCTTGTCGTGCTGTGGGTTTCATTGTTCTCTTTAGGGTTCTCATCACCGCTATTCAATATCCGCTTCATGTTTGATATCAATCTTTTGCCAATATTTAGCCTATGTTTCAATACTTGAAACTGGTGCGAGTATTGTTGATTTATACTTTGAAGTTGGTAAATTACTGAGTACCGGAGACTGGAGTGTATTTTAAATGTGCACACCAACTGTTTGATTGTTTTGCCTCTCTGGGTTGTGAAGGATTAACTACTACGAGACATACTTTGGGATCTGGAATGCTGGATTAGGATTTCTGGGATAACCTGGAAGAAATACCCTCTTACCAAAGCCAAAAACTGCTACCAGTGGAATTTCAAATATGGAACAATAGAGTGCAAGCTACTTGGAGCTTTGCCTGAGAAGTTGCCTTTGTTTATCTTTTTATGAATCAAAACTTTGATGGATAAGGCTGAGAGCAATTCAATCTTGCACCATTTGGATTGATTAAGATGTTCAAGGTTTAATTGGAGGATTGTTTGAATCAGTCCCCTTTAAAATGTGTTAGCATTCTAGAATAAGTTTGCAATGACGCCATCCGCACAACACACCTTACCAATCAAAGAATCGTTTCACCTCATTTCTTACGCGTGTTAAAGCGTCTCAGGTGTTTGGAAACTTAGGCTCATAAAATGTTGAACATGTGTTTATGTAGACAATTTTTTCAAACAAACGTACGCAGTGATGTACGAACGTTTAACCAACCCGGGATTTCGTCAAAAACCAGCCATAATTTATATTGAAAAATTAATTTGTCAAAAACCAGCCAAAATTTTTATTAAAAAATTAATCACATTATATATAAAAAATATTATATAATTTAAACTATATTAGATTACATAATCATAATCATAACCATTGAATGAAGCGAGCCTCTTAAAATTAGAGTCTTATTTTTATTTAATTATTTTTATTTTAATTATTATTATTTCACAGTTTAATGTAATCTAGATTGTAAAATAAGATACTGTTATATAAAATAATATTTTGTAATTTATATTAAACTAAATTGCAAAACACCAACAATTAAATTAAGAGGATTCTGATAATGAATTGAAAGCTCTTCCATCAAATAATTATTGTTTCGTTGTTAAAATTATAAAACATCAAACTTTTACATATAATGAAAAATTTTATGCTGATAAAAAAAATAATGGAAAATTCTTTTGTGTGATGGAATATCTATCATCCGTTATCTCCGACTAATAGGTAATAGAAACTTAGCACGATATATCAACACGAAAATGAAAAATCAAAAAAAGAAAAAAAAAAACATGAAACATTGAGATTATTTTTTTGATGAATTTTGACTTCTCTATTCAATTGAATTGAAATACCTCTAATGTGGATTTAAATGCCACGTCATAGATATTCATGTACAAGTAGAATTTCTTGCAAAAAACTAATTGACTTCAAAAACTTAATTACTCCTAAATGTTAGTATTAAGTAAATGCCACAGAATGCTACAATTATAATTTCATAAAAAATTATAATCTTATAATTATGACATTATATTAAATGAATATAATGTATTATTAAATAAATAAATGTATATAATGTTACAAATAAATTTGTGAGTAAAAATAATTAATTATATAAAAATCGATCATATTATAAAATTATAATATCATATAGTATTTTAATTATACTATTTTTAATTAAGTAATTAATCCTCTTTTAACACTTTCTTGACTGGTAAAAACCCCTTTTAAGCCCTTAAATTTACCCCAGAATAGCACTTAAGCCCCTAAACTAAAATAAAGTTAATAAATCCTCCAACTCCATTAATGGTGCAAATAAGCCATTCTCATTCATGGATGTCATACTTTCAAGATGATATTAAATATTAAATACCGTTTAGCCCATTTGTGAAAACGATTTATATGTATAGTTAGTGGAGTTGAAGGATTTATTTATTTCATTTTTAATTTAAGAACTTAAATGTTATTTTCGAGTAAGTTTGGGGCTCAAAAAGGACTTTTACCTTATTGACTTCTCTATACAAACTTTATTATAAATAAATTCCGTAGCATTTACGGTACCTAACGTCCATGGGGCAAATAATTAAACGGCTGACTGCTAGCCCTCATTCTTCGGCCGCCTCGCCGTGCTTATAATTAAGCATACATTACCATATGTATCATACACATTAATTCTGCTTCTTCTTCTTTATATATAGAGTAAATAGCAGCCTTCTTTTTCAGTCTTTCTCCTCATTCCCATGGAAAACTTTCCGATTTTTAATTTTCCTTCTTCGTCATCGGTGTCGATGTTGAATCCCCGTGCTGATCATGATACTAAGTTATTTCTAGACGGCAGGATGAATGGATTCGTGGGACAAACGTCTGATCAGATTGAGGTACCTTCCAGGGATCTGAATGGAGACAGCGTCCTTGGTCATGAGAAAAGCTTGGCGGCCGCCGGGGCAGGATCTGAAGGGAAAGGAGGGAAGAGCAAAGGGGAGAAAAAGGTTAGAAAGCCCAGATATGCTTTTCAAACCAGAAGTCATGTTGATATACTGGATGATGGGTATAGATGGAGAAAATATGGGCAAAAGGCAGTGAAGAATAACAAGTATCCGAGGTAAGTAATTAATATTACTCCATTAAGATTAAATTCCTTTGTCAATATCTGATCTTCGTTTCTTTTGCTTGAAATTAAATGGAATCAGATAGGAAGAATAAATATATTTCTAAATGAAAAAAAGGGTGTCGCTAATACTAATATTTTTAGGGTAATTACCGCCTTCAAGAAAAAAAAAAAAGGTAGCTTTGTACCAATAACAATATCATGAACAGTTACGTATGTGAAAACCCAAAAGATAATAGTAGATAACCGGCATGTTTAGTGTAACCGTTAAAATTTAGTAAATAACGAATAATGGATAGTGAGTAGCAAATAATAAATAGTGAAAAGTAAATAGTAGATAGTAAATAACATATTCAATAGATACAATAGTTTGGTATGCACTAGTTAACGATTGTTGTTTAATAATATTAAATGACTAATAAAAATATATCTAAAAACAATTAAGTGTATTTTTTTAAAATGTTTTTTATTTTTTATTATTAAAATTATTAATTTTATAAAAATAATAATAAGAAAATAAATAAA